ATGCAGGATATTTAAAAAACACTAAATATATGCAAATTTCATTGAAAGGTTTTTCAGTTTGCTTGCCTTGATGTTTCTTTCGCATACGTCATGTTTGACGTCGCATGCGGGGCTGTATGCAGGGAGTACAGGGTTAGTTGACGATGAATTTGTGATGGTGGTTACTATTTTCATATCTGTTACTTGTTCAGTCTCCCTTTCAAACTCTCAAACCAGAGTTGGTGATTTATTAGAACAGTGAAAAGACTAACAAAAGAGTTTTTTAGAGTTTTATTTTGTTTCTTTGGGGTTTGAATGCTTCACTTGTCAGCGAGGTAAAATGACTGTTGTCTGACTGGAGTCAGAGCGGCTTTGAGAAGAGCATGTTAATTGTATGTTTTGTATGGTAATACCTTTGTATTGCATACATTTTCTTAAAACAATAATCCCTCTCAATCATTACTTATGACTCACCAGAAGTGTGTGGTGGTGTCTGTCTATAGAGACCTGGCCCTCTGCCTGTAATTTGTCTTTTCTTCCTACTGTATTTTGCTGTGTTCTGATTGTAGGTGATTGTGCTGCGTTCTGTTAATAAGCTGTAAAGTTACGTCGATGCAATATTATTATAGTATAGTTTTTACAAAAAGCAATGATGTGAAGTCATATTAGTCGAAAGTTTCTGGCCTGAAGTGAGCCAACCATCATTCCTGCCAACTGTCACCAAACTTGAACTGGTGGTTTTGTGGTTGCGAGACAGAACACCGTGATATGTTGGCCATTATTAATGTTGGCTAAAAATATGAATTCTGCATCTATGATGTCATGTCTCCCAGATCATTTTGTAGAAATTTGCTGTCACTTTGACACAGATTTTTTTTTTCCTGTCAATCAGAACAAAGAAAAAGACGTATTACATTCAGTTTCATCAAAATCCTACCAGTGGCTTCTCAGATATCATAGATTAGAGTTGGAGTCTTCTATATCGTGTTGATGTTGTGAAATCTCTTTTTTGAATACAGACAGATTAATAAATAAATCTCCATCACCCCTTACATCACTCTCTGTGATTCTGTCATTTCACTACGAGGCTCCATGGGAGTTATAACCACTGCAGGTGGTCTTAACACTTCAGACTGAACTTCTGTGAAGATTGTGGAACAAAGAAGACTACAGAAGGTTTCCTGTCTGTGCATGGGGTTCAGTATAAAAGTGAAGGTCACCCAACACCGGGTGTCCAGCTAAAGATCTTTTTTTTTGTCTAAATCACTTCAGGTCCGCAGGCATCCTTCTTTTCCACTCCCCTTTCTTTCACCACACTCTCCCGTAAAGGTCACTCCACGCTCAAATGTGAATATAGTCTGAGCAGGTCGATGTGATGTGGAAAGGGAAAATAAAATGTCTTTTTCTTATCTGTCACCGGAGAGCTCGTTGAATGAATCTGTCCTCCGGCTTGTCCCTCGCTTCCCCGGCAAATAAAGCTCGGGCAGTCTCTCGATGTCCACCGGCGATGGCGTCGTTAGGAGCAGCGAGGTTGCGCGGAGGTCGAATAAACACAATGAGGCCGCCAACCCGTCTCTCTTGGGGAGTAGTGACACAACAGCTGGCTGTCACTTTAAGCAGCAGATGCTGCAGGATCTCCCAGGGTGGATCTCTTTAAGGATTGGTTAGTGTTTTTATTCTGTCTGCGTTCGCCAAGAGGAGAAATAAACGGCTCTGGGACAACTCGTCTGTTTCTGAGACAAGACAAAACATCTGTTTTATGCTGTTGCACATGATGGGACAGATATAAATGGACAACAATACGCACACAGAACATGTGAGTTGCATGTTTCTAGAATTGGACGCATTATGGTCTTTTAAAAGAAATAAACACTACCAACACTTACTAACACTTCAACGCTGAACGAGTAATGGCATCAAGGAACCTGACCCTCATTACCAACGAGAGGAGATGAACAAAACAACTTGTAAAATGCCGTGTGCGAGCTCTGATGCTCTCAGTGGGCCTGGCGAATATGGCCCATGCCGGGTTTAAAGTGCAGTCCACATGTTGCATATTACGTCGTTGTTATAAGAGTATAGTGTAATGTGTGCGTAGTGAGTGGGCGGTTGAGCGACAAAGAGAGTGAAGGTGGATGCACTCAGATCAGATGTTGGCGATTGCAGTGGAGAAGAAATTAGTGGTTAAGTTGTCACCCCACAAACACACACTTCTGAAATAAATCCGGCGCCGCTACATCCCATGCATCTTTTTTTGTCTGTTATTTTATATCCACTACAAATGGCAGTAAATATGACAGCCCGTCAAAGTATTATTTTGCATTTTGAGCCACCCTCTTTCTACTGTTTGTGTATTCTTGACTTAATTCTCTCAACTTTTCGTCGGTGCAGTCTGATGCCCTTTTATGGTTTTTGGCATGATGTTCACCTCCTAATCCAGGACTTTCTGCCAGAAAGGGTTTATTTGAACCCAAATCCTGATATTTTCCTAAAATGAACTGAGTATACTTAGGTTTGTTGCCTAAACCGAAGGAAATATCTGTCAGAAAAGGCTTTTCTACGGACCTGAAGTAGACTTTTGTTGGGAACTTTTGCACAAACAAATTCAAAAACAAATTTAGGGAGATATTGGTGAATGAGGCCCAAATGTTATCTAAAAAGTGTGCTGCGGCTCATTGGCGTCATACAATACATACAATTAAATGTAGCCTCTCACCTCTAGTTGTACCAGCAGTTGCAGTAATATTACTTGAACATTGAGTTATGATTGATATGTTTATTTAAATGCAACACACATTTAATCTGCATGCACGTTGACCGTGCAGCTGACATATGGACAGTTTCTTGTGCTCTTAATTTACGTTCCACTGAAGTATATTTATTGATTCATGATTCTATTACTATGTACCTTTTATTTTACCTTTGTTTTGCCAACATTTACTTACTTTCCTTTGATTAATGATCCGGCAAAACCAAAGATGAAACATTGAACCCCAACTTTTAATTAGCTTTGATAATTGATCTCCATGACAGCCGATTAACATTTAAGGCGTGATTGGTTTGTGTGTGTTCATTAGCTCCCTCTGAGTTGGAGAGATAACAAATGGTATCAATGGTAAATGTGATTCATGTCCACTGTGCTTTATGCAGATATTAATGTAATTATGTACCCAGTGGGTTTGCCAGGACGTCCAGTGAATGTTATCGTTCTCTGTTCTCGGATGAGCATCATTCAGTGTAATATTGCTGAGTGCTACATACGCACTCTGGGGTTTGAAAAGTGGATTTTTTTTTTTTACCATGAGGAATTTATAGCGTTTTCTTCTCTTTCACCTGTAAAAAAGAACTCGAGGCCATTCCATCAATATAATCACCAGCTTGTCTCACAGTGCCAGAACATGCATTTCAATCTGTGGACGCCCTCTGGAGCTGCGTGAACTGAGGTCGTTCCGCTTTTACACCCCAGACAAAACTTATTTCTAAAGTAATACGAACCGTTAAGTTTGTCCTTTGCAAGTTCATTCATCTAAGGCCCTGTCTTTTCTCTTTTCATTTGTTTTTTATTTAAAGCAGCGTTGGAAGATTTGACTTGATGTAACAGATTAGACTCAATGACTTTCTCTCAGATTTTCAGACCAATCAGAAGTCAGAGATTTCCCCGTCCTCCATTGTGTGACATCACTTCTGACGATGTCTTCTTGTTTTGTATATCCCTCTTACTAAAACCTGTCAAAAAGGTTCCTGTCACACCTACAGCTTTAGATAAGGGAGAGAGATTTGCTAATTCTGTTGTATCACTTTCAATCATCATGACACAATGACAGTATCAACTACTGCAGTATCTGGTGTTTACAGCAAAGAGCATTTAGCAATAGCCTGGTAAAATGAGTTGTGTTTATTGAGTAAAATATGAGAGGGTATGTTTGCCAACATTCGGAGTGATTAAGAGGAATTCAGTCATTTCGACTGCTTATGGACATTGTGACGATATTGAACTCATTCTCAGTCACGTTCTCTCTAACCCTTTTGGCCTAATTGTATTGCTTCTTTCAAGCACCTTATACATAGAAAATAATATCACTTGTTGTTCATGCTGTCGAGTGTGAAGCGAAGTGCTGCTTTCGAGCATGCGATCAAAGGCCAAAAAAGGTCTTTCTCGTGTCAAGACGTTTTCTCTGAACTTCTGAAAACTTTGCAGTTGCTCTCGGTAAGACCTTCAAACCACTGTGTACAAGTTGTGGTGTGTGTTTCTGTGTGTGTGTGTGTGTGTGTGTCTTTTGGACTGAATTGTGTAAATGCTCAAACTGAACAACAAATCAATCCTGTTCTGGCTATAACTCCAATGCATTCAATTTAATCAACGCATCAACTTTGTGCGACACTCTGATTAAAGTGAACGCATTAGAGCAATGTCTGTGAGGGGCACTGGGATGTGCATTGTGAAAGAATTACTACACGCATGATGATTTATGCATTTGAGCTTTTTTCCGTTCTTACATTGCACGTTATTTATTGTATTGGCAGCAAAAACTGAATGTAAGATCTTTGTGTGCACAGCTTCAAGTGACTGTGTAATGGAGGTTATTCTTTGTGTTGTTTTACTGAAGCTTGCACACTCGTCCCTAAAACTGTGGGAGAGTCGAGTCACATGAATACGTGAGTTAGTACTTGTTCGCAGCCGTGGCTCAATGGGTAGAGAGGGTCGTCCGGCGATTCATTCCTTGGCTGCTACATGCCCTGTGCCGAAGTGTCCCTGAGCAAGACACTGAATCCCTAACTGCTCCCCGGTCGCTTCTCAGCAGCCCACTGCTCCCAATAAGCTAGGGATGGGTTAAATGCAGAAGTTACATTTCATGTATGTGTATATATGACGACTCTAATAACATTTCGTTTAAAAATTTTGTTTCAGTTAATATGCCACCCTGCCTGACTGCAGTAGCACACCGTTTATTTAATGAAAGGAAAACAGTCTCTCTTTTTCTTTTTTTAAATCTCCTCCTCTCATCCGTCTCTTCCTGCAGTTCGACATGCAGAGAATCACCCTGGAGGAGCTGAAACACATCCTGTTTTACGCCTTCCGCGACCACCTGACCATGAAGGACATTGAGAACATCATCATCAACGAGGAAGAGAGCCTAAAGGAGAACTCTGGGAACTATCAGACAGAGTTTGAGGGAGGTGAGCGAAAGTCCCTGAGCTAACACACAGACGTGTGTGTGTGTGTGTGTGTGTGTGTGTGTGTGTGTGTGTGTGTGTGCTGTCAGGAAGACAGCCTTCTCATCAAGATCTACGGCGTCACAGCACATCTGCTGGTTTATTGATTCGGGGCGTTTGGGGGTGACCGCGGTCAGTTGGTCACCGGTTCAGAAGTGACACGGATGAAATATGCATGTCCTCGCTCTGCAAAAACTAGCTATCCAAGATTCATGGGTCAGAGGAGTGGGGGGGGGTATTCCAGGACTTTTTCACTCTCTCATTGTAAAAATGGGAAATGTCATTTCTTGTTTGAATTCAGATTCAGTGAGTCAGCCCTCTGAGTCTTTTGAGTTTTTAAGGTCTTGACAGAACGAAAGTCATCGAAATGAGAAGAGACTAAAAAGCACTTGAATTTACATAAAGCAATTACAGTTAAATAGAACACAGTAACTTATAGACGGCCTAGTGCCACAGTGCCCAGTATGCTGTCCAGTTCCGTATTAACAACATATGTGCACGGCACTATGTTAAGAAGCATCCGTTTGGCTGGAGCTGAGCAGATGCCGTGTTGCTGTGAAGCAACAGCAATAGATGCGTTAAAATAAACCATGTTACTTTAATTCGTTAACTCTCACTGCCCCCTCAACACGTTCCTCTGTTCACTCTCCCTTTGTTTGTTTCTGTTATCTGCCCGTCTTTTTCTTATTTTCGGAGCTGAGTAATGCTGCAGAAATGTAAGTAGAAATGTCACACCGACAAAAAATGTTAAGCTGTCGTATGTGACATTATTTATTGCGCGCGTACTCTAACTGATGACATGGTGCTCTGAGAGGCAGCCTAAGAAAATTGCACTGCCGTCCATTTCGTCCAGACACTAATCACATGAATTTTGGATGTAGGAAAGGCTGAGTCATAAATTTCCCCCGTTCCCACACGTCCTGAAGGCAGCATGGTCCGTAACTACTTTGTTATTCAGTCCTTGTGTTTGCAGAATTAATAATACTGTGAGTGTGAAATTCTATAGCACTGAGATTTTCTTTCTAGTCAAGGTTGTTTATATGTCTTCTGTTGGCTAAAATGATGCTCAGAGGCCAACAGCCATAAATGTCCCCCTTAACCAAACACCACCTGCCTGTGAATCTGGCCTGTCGTGTGGGGGGGAATAAACTTTGCCCGACGCTGGTGTCAATGTCAATGGACACAGATTGCGCCGGCACTTTATCAGGGTCTTAAAAACTGGTGTGGAGTGATGACAACATGATGTTCCTATTGGGTTTATGATGATGAAGAGGAACCACTGCAGGATGATACGGAGCAATCACATCTGTTAGCCTCAAGGTCCACGAGTACCACCTGCCACACACAGGGAGGACACCAAAATGTGCTCAGTCACGCAGAAATCAATACATTTTGTCATAGTGAGATTCATACAGAGCGTGATTCATCATTCTACTCTGCTTCTTGCTTCAGCTTACTGCTATATGAGGCAGCATATGAGGCACTTGATTTCCCCTCTGGCTTCAACTCACTCTGGAATCAATATGTTGTGCGGCTGAAAAACAACAGAATACAGGATCCGACCACTGATCCATAGAAGTTCACCAAGCAATGATTGATTGCTGAACGAATTGCACCAAAAGTGTAAAGCGCAGAGAAACCTGCCGGAGCGGCAGCTGTCCAGGGAGCGCCTGGCAGCCAGACGCAAGTGTGGAAATCAACTTTGATCCATGAATGTCACAGCTGCCATGCAGGTGCATAGATTTGAGGGCCTCCGTCTTAGCAATATGTTCTTATTGTGCATGTTGGTGATGTGCACCTGCATGATTTGAACAACTTTTTCATGTACATACATATATCTGTTCTGAGTGCAGCAAAATCTTCTCGAGCACATGAGGTGATGTATTTAACATTGGGAAGTGCCCATTCGACCGACAGACCGTTATCTTGAAAACAATGCCCATTGTTTCCAAATGCCCAATGCTCCTAAAACACAAGCTCTCCATGCAACAGACAGAAGCACATAGCTAATTATTATGCAGAATGATGTCATTGGACCTTCACATTTTTATTTCCTAGCGTTGAAGGCATGACCCACCACTCTGCCTCTCATTACTTGTTGCCTTCATTGGTTGGGCTGGTTAGGTTTAGGCATGAGGAGTGAGATTAGTTAGGTTTAGGGTAAGAATATCAGGTAAAGCCAACTGGAGGCAGAGTAGGGCGGCTTAAGCCTTGGCCATGGTAGGGAAAGTAACATTGCGACCTGAAAGGTCTGATGACATAATTTTGCATAATAATGAGCCATGTCCTTCAGTTTGTTGAATGCAGAATTTGTATTTCCAGAACAAAAGGGGTTTGTTTTTCTGGGTTAATTTGTTGGACAAATGAGGAATTGTTCAGACTGCGCATTTAGAATATGGTATGGCACCTTTAACATTTATAGTTTCAACTGTAGTATAACTTAAAAACTCTTCACTGGATAGAATAAAACTCAAGATTCTCTGTTTTTGAAGTTGAAAACATGAACTAAATATCTCTTAAACCAAGGATCCTAGAATTTCGCAATAAGGAAACCCCAGGTCCCAAACCTCAGTCCCCAGCCTGACCAGCTACTCTTCTAAGGGTCCACAGGAAACATATTTTACTTTTATAGCACTGTTTTTTAATCAATCTCTATACCAACACATTGAAGTTAGTTGACCTGTAACCTGTACACTGTTTATGTATAAAGTAACACTAGAATTATTCACCTCCAGGTCAACTGACTTTGAAGCACGAGCGTATGTAGACAGCCATAAGTCAGCAGCTTGGAAGCCAGCGTACAGCTCATTACCTTCATGCCCACAGTGGTCCACTGAAGAAAATCATTGGTGGATATTTGGCAGGGGTGTAGTTACTTTGGGCGGCTGAGGAAGTGTTTTATGAGGCTGACAGCAGGTTGAGGCGACTGGACTGAGAACTAATGTCGAGACCACAACTCTCCTCCCATCTCCACAGTCCAGCTTGCAGCTGAACACATGCTCTTTCCATTGACACCCTGTTCAACTCACCCTGACTTATACAACTATGGGTCTAAAAATTAAACTAGCTGCTTAAGTATCAAGAAAATGACACAAACCTTCTGGTACATTATTGAAAAGTTTGATTTATAAGTCGGTTGCATAATCTCATCCCAGATGGTTTAGCTTGGTTTAAGAAAATATGATTGTAGCACTCAATAACAGTCAGTATTATGGGTAGATGCTTGTGTTGTGTCACAGCAGCTGTGGCTGCAAAATTAGGAAAACGACTTGTGACTGAGAGATCCCAGGTTCAATTCCCAGACCCGTATAGGGTGAAACTGACCAATCTGTGGTGCCAGTGGCCAATAGATGAGACTGTAGTTGTACTAATCAGCTTCAAAGTGTGAATGTGAGTAACTGTGAGCCTAAAAAAAGATGTTTGTTCTTAGCGAAACCACCCTTGTTCAATTCAGGTTAAAAACATACCCAATATTTCTTGTGTACAAATGCCAACCAAGACAAAATGGTCATCCAGTGTTGAGTTACTTAACCTTTCTTGGCTGAAATCTCCTTGTTAGATAATCCATTTGGCTAAAAATTCCATCACGTCGTGTTTTATATGATGTGAGAGTCTGGAATAGTATTTTTTTTTTCAATTGGAGAATGCCAACTATTGACACACGGTCTCAACGCCCAAGCCAAGAAAGATGTAGCAATCTCCGTCCCACTTTCCACATTTCATTTCCTTTGGAACAGCAGTCAAGAAGCACTTTTGATGACCTCACCGCTTCTCGATTTGAGAGTTATAAATAGAGCAAGTGAGAGTGTGAGCCATGTACATAGCTGTTGGTCATTGGCCCAGCTCCACTCATTACCTGGTACAATCATTTCAGGCAGAGCTGCTGAGTTATCGGTCGTTGCCAGAGGTTGATTGAACCAAAGTGATGGCATAGAGAGAGCTGGACGGCTGTTGTGTCAATGTGTCAGCTTGGGTTCTTTATATAATGTCCTCGAGTGCAACATGCTGTCATTTACTTGCACCCCCATTATTCCTTCTTTTAAGGGGGGTGTTATGGAGACAAACAATTGATAGTTTTGAGGTGGATTTTGCTGAAGCGTGAGACTTTAAATAATATAACAGAATGCAATGCCACAGTTAATCGGCACACACAGTTCAAACAAAAATCGAACCTTAAAACCGTCATGAAGGTAGGATTTTATTGTTAACTGCAATTCCAGTTTTAATAAAATAACAGTTTGTCAACATCTGATGAAGATTACTAATCTTTTTTTTCATATAGATAAAATTAAAAGGGTACTCCAGCAATTTAGCAATGCACTTCTATTATCTATGGGGACAATTAAAAAAACAAAAGTGTCCCCTAACTGAATTTACATAGCAGAATCTTATCACGTCTTGCCCATAGTCGACTGATCATCGAATATTGTTTTTTTTCTTGCTCACTAATCCCACTCTGTTTAACCTTTGTGTATCTAAACGAAGGGGAGGCTAAGGGACAGTCCACAGAAGAGAGACAAGCCACAAACAGCTGTTATATGCTCTTCCCCAGCTGAATTTAGGGAACCGTTTATAAATTCAAAATATATCTAGTTCTTTGATAGTGCTATGTTCTTGCGCGAGTGTTCTTAATTGATAAATGTCGGCCTATTCTTTGATTTTGAAATAGCCATGTTGTCATTTATGAATGACATTTGGTTTCACGACCACACTTCCCGTCACTGTGACGATTCGACTGTGCTGTTACCTGCCCCCTGTTTCCCTGACGTTAAATATATAATGTTGAGGTGTCGTCCATATTGACCAGACAATTGTTTAGTTGCTGCTGTTTACATTCTTTCTGATGCAAGTTCAAAAACTGCACAGTAATGCGCCACTGTTTTTGTTTTGCTATGCTTTTCTTGCACAGCAAATGAGCTACAACTCTATTGTAGCATAATAGCAATTAAATTGCTATTTAGTTGCATAATATTGTTTAGATTTTTGAGTCCTATGTACGAGCAGATATTTATTTTATCAGACTTTCTAAAGCTCCCACTAGAGATGCAGGAGTCATACAACTGCATTCACAGGCCGAGTAGGACTGGATTTACTGTCCGTTCTAATGTGTTATTTAATTCATAGTTTAAACATTCCCATTCTGCAGTACACTGTAAAGCTTCCGAACTAGCCAGGGTTTGTGCTGTAAAATCAGTCTGGTGCTGTGAACTGTGACGCTCACCTCAGTGTCCCTCTCCGCGAATCACTTCCCAGTAACCCGCTGCTCATTCCGATGGTAGTTAGAGCGGAGCTGTTAATTCTGCCCGGCAACACTCGTGTGAGCTCACAACTCAAGTTTATTTCCTTTGGTCGCAGCCACAGTGGAACATTTCTACTTTGCCGTATGTTTTTGTGGTGCGCGGCTCAATTAGAAAGTAACCTGAGTTCATGAATGACATGTTTGCAGTGCAAAGGTTTGGCAGCTTGTTGTCTTGTCAGTTTTAGAGATTTGAGCCCCTCTAACTTTTTCACTGCTGACTTATACTTTCTCTGCCATTAATACATCTTAAGAATTTATGAAGGAGTAAACACAGTGTAAATAACCCACACCAAATGTGCACCCTCTGTCTTTTCTATTCTTTCTCAGGGTGCAGATAATGACAGCTTGATGTCAGAGACAGAGGTGTCTGCATCTTTTAAACTGGCGCCTTCCTCCTCGTTTCTCTTTCAGTTCACCCTTCGAAGAAGAACCGTCAGACTTGCGTGAGGAAAAGCCTCATCTGCGCCTTCGCCATGGCGTTCATCATCAGTGTCATGCTCATCGCGGCCAATCAGATGCTGAGGAACGGCATGGAGTAGCTGCGCCCACTGTGAGCGAGGGGGACGGGGACGGGGGGATTTGAGCCAGCCTGCATGTGCATGCCAGTGGGTGAGGTCATATCCCTGTTGATAGGAAAAGAACTACAAGGAATTACGCTAAAATAACCCACGACAAAATTCATTTTCAAGACTATTCTCAGTTTTTCCGAATGAGTGGCACCTCTCCACCTGACGTCCAATGAAACCGTGAAGCCAGCACGAGGAGTCACGCAGGATTCCTCCCCCTTTACCCTGATAGGGACACTCAAGGGCTGACATTACACATAATAACTCTGTCGTGTCTGTTTCCCTGATGCAATAAAAAAAAAAATAATAATTTAAATTACATAAGGAAAAAAAAATCATATTGAGTGCAGGAGTTCAGAGCTGCTCGCTGTTCCAGCAGGCCAGATGTGACTGCCGATCCGTCACCCACCAGGAGTCTGATAAGCCACCAGGGCTGCAGGGGCACTTAAAGGGAACAATTGCCCCCTCATCATAGTTCCTGGAAGCATGATGACAGACCTCGCCAAGACTCGAGTGGTAGGATCCGCGTACGCCGTCAGGCCACAGCTCCTGTAGCGCCTGTGGTGCTACGATGCTGAAGCTCTCTGACTTTCTATTTTCAACCACTGCATCTGTGGGCTGGTATGAGGTGCTGGCATCGGTTCATCAGCTCTACACACCAAACAGTCGAGCGAACACAAAATGCTAAACGGGAACTCTGGGCTGGTGTTTTGGCCTTGGATTATTCATGAAAGAACACCGACGTTTTGAAAGTCTGAACACTGTTCAGGTGCAAAGAAAATGTTTGTGTGTCCAAAAGAATCCACCCTTTCACTGTTCACACTGTTATACTGTATATCATCTACCTGTCGTGTTCAGTGCACTCAAGTTTTTAATTGCAAGGTGATTTAATTCAACTTCCTCTGTCTGCCTTGTCTACTGCTTTTCCCTAAATTACTTTTGACAATCCTCAGAGAACAATTGTGAAACAATCACATTCGATGACGATGGTAAGAGCGAAATAGCAAAAAGTTCTCCAGTTAGTCAAAGCGGAATTTAACCTTTTAGCGCCAGTATATGTCTCGCAGCTTCTTCGTATGTTGGTGCGGTGGCTAAATGATGCTTTTACACTTTATTCCTGAGGAAACATCTCATTGATACTTGGATATTTTTCGTATTAGTTGGAAAATGTATGTTATGCCACATCATCTGAGAAATCAACACAGCATTTATTAACAGTGTCGAAGTGTTTTAGGGTGGATTTTTTTTTTTTACATCTTTAAATCCCACCTAAATAAGTTAATGAATTATAACTTAGTGCTGTGAAAAGTTGACTCCCCTCAAGTTTCCAACACTTTTTGACGTCTACATAAGGTTTTTTCAAGCAGAAATGCCCAAAAGAATTGTTGGCAGTCACCATATTAACTTTATTTTAATTTTGAAACTGTTCCTGTTGTGTGATAGTAGACTACAGATAAAACATTTTGAACCATGTGAATTCTGATTGCAAACTTTCTCACAGCACTGAAGGATTTCAAGACGCGTCTTGATTTCCGCTGAGGTCGGCTCTGAACTCCCGCACTGACTCTCATCTCAACATGTGAACCCAGCCAGGGAGGGGGTCAGAAACACCCATGTTGTCAAGTGCATGCGATCAAGTCTGTCTTTTGTAAATACCGTGACCCCACGTCGGAGGTGTCTCAAGTGTCCCGCCGAAGGTACAGTATCTGTATGCGCATGACTGTCGGTGCTCTCTGCTCACCCGGGTTCAGACGTGCAGGGAGGAAGATCAGCAGATGGAGAAGCGGCTGATTTATTACAAACGCGTCAGACCTCTTCTGCTTTCTCTCAACACTCTTGCCAAAGCCATAGAACCACCGCAGAGGTGAACCAGACAACACAATGTAATATAATTGTCCCTGTTCCTACATGGAAACACAAGATCACTCATGTAGGATTTGATTTCTTCCTGTTATTTAAAATATTTTTTTCTGCACTGTACCTGTCGTTTATTTCAGTAAAATGAAAAGGAGGGCTGTAAGGTTTGTGCGAGAGTGCCATCTAGAGGTGAAGTGAGATCACGGTGTCCATGCTGTTGTCCCACTGCAGTGTTTGTGTTTCTTCATCTCTCAGCACTGTGGCAATATGATGACTCTCACAGCGTTGTATTCACAAGGTCTGGCAATTGTGAATCCTAAATGTTAAAATATGAGTATTTCTATGTTTGTATGTTGACTTTGATCTACCAACACAGCGGGGTAGAGCAGTACTTGTGTTTGAACACGATGCATTTCTTGCCTATGGCAGAAAAAAAAAAAAGTCCTTTTGAATCTGTAGAAAGGTTTCATTCACAGATGAATAGTTACATTTCAGAAACTAATGAAAACGCATTTTGTGCAAAAACAGTCTACAAAACCTTGTAGATCACACTGGTTCTGTTTTGTTTTTTTTACATTTGAAAAAGTTACACTGATTTTATTTTAATGTTTGTATCCTTCAATTTTGCATTAGTGGTGGAAATGTCACACTGAATTCACAGCTAGTCACTGCTTGCATGTAGTGGTTAACCGGAGAAGTGTTTTATATTTGTCTTTTAAATTTTATTTTCGCTTGTGTATTTCTTTTTTTTTAGTACCAGTAACTGTGGTTAGTTTTGTCAATTCAAACTGCCCTGTCCCTGCAGCAAGGTTGCATGTTTAAAGCGTTTTATTTCGGATGGGAAACACAGTGTCTCTACAGTAGCATGGTGATTGGATCCCACGTGTTTCTGTTCTTCAACCATGTACATAGCATATGTATTTGACAAGCACACGCTATACATACTTTGCATGTGCAATATTTAAACATGTAGACTAGAGAAAGACTTTCAGTTGTACTATTTATTAGAGGCATAATAATTATGAAATTGTAAATACGGAAATCTGTACAAAAGTCATGAGTAAGCATTGATGCAATAAAACTGTTTTTTAAATGGTGCTTTGTTTTATTTTACACTGGACTTACGTTTATCCTTAAGGCAGTTGTCGGTTCATTATCAAGGACTTATTCCATGTAAACGTCAGATCTTATGTTTACAATTTGAGGGCCTCTATTATTTGAAATGAAACGATTTGGCCCTTGGTGCTTTCCTGTGTTTGACACCCCAATGTCGTGTAAACGGAATTAAAAACTTTTTTCATGGGATCAAGGAATGAGGCCGTCGGTGCATTGACACAAATGGTGACATTGTCAGAAGTGTCCAAACTCGGGTATGTTGATAATTGAGGTCGTAGTTAAAGGTGGCGTTTGATTGGTCTGCATTATAGTTCTTCATTGTTGTCCTTCACATTTACATACGCAATCTGTGTCTGACATAATTCTAAGCTTCGTAGAGATGGATGTCATGGCAGGACTGTTGTATTGGATTACATGATTAGATTGTACAAGTGTACCTACTGTAAGGAAGCGGCCACTGAGTGTATATCATCCATTGTGACCACACTAAAACCACAAGAGGGTAGCATTAGGCACTGAGATGGTGAAGCTGAGGGCTGTACTGTCACATACACATTAACATACATGTAAATTCATCAATGCCTCCACATACAGAACACAAATATTACCATTTTGTGACCCAGAGACATAGTTTTCTACTGTAAAAATAACATTACTCAATCACTTTTTGAAAGCTCACCATTTATATCCATATGTCTGGTAGCAGCTACAGTGAGTTATGAAACTGTCACGTTTATATTACAGCTTGTGCTGTTACTATAAAGTTTACGATAAAGATAATTTCAACTCTTCATCCAGAGTCACAAGCAGGCAGAGGTGACAGGTCTACTGCAGGGACACCAAAAACATATTGATAAGACCAAGATGATCTGTCCTGTGATTAAAGCAGATTATATTATCTGCTCACAGGGAGATACAGATGCCTCGGACAATACGGTCAGTATGGAAACTATAACCGATTGTCATTTTTAAATAATTTCTCCTTCAGAAATTACATAGTAATGTTACCAAATGAAGCTTACAATCGTATTGCGTTGTATCTTAATATAAAAATATAAAAAGAACGTATGTCAAAATTGACAAAGTAGGCACTTTTCTGCTCTCGTAGAATCCACCTTAACACTCGAGTAATATAACAAGAGTCTGTTAAGTTCATTTGATCAGACTGTCCTTGGTGTTATTTAGAGTAACTGTTGACTGACAGTTTGCAGGATTTTAGCTCACGTAGAGTAATCTTACTTTATGCCAGGAGGAGAAGAGTGTGATAAGCATTCAGTGTTGTGTTAGCATGCAGGCTCTGTCCTCCAGAGACACACCAGGCTCTCCAGCTCTCTGCTAGAAACAATCCCCTTGTGCTCCCAGCAGGCTCCTCCTGTTTCATTGACATCTCAAGCTTTTAGCTAATGCGTAGTCCAGAGCAAATAAGTGAGAGTAAACAGTAGGAATTTCGGAGTCTGGTTCAAGGACACTTTGCACAGGACACACGGCTGCTCCAGAGTTGAAACCATTACTTTCGATTGGCTGCCTCAGATGACGTTATGTAAGATTTTGGTGTACTAGCCTACTTTTATAAAGGATATGCGATTAAACTATTCATAAGCCAAGTCGCTGTTCACAGTTGCAACTGATGCCATGCAGCTGGGAGCTGACGGTGAAATCTCGTTTGAAGTAGTCTATTTTTGGAGAAGACTTAAAGTGCAAATCTCACAGTATGAGAAGCATTTTGACCAAAACCATACAAATGGATGGAGCAGTTAAAAAAGTGTCTCAGCATCATGGTAGCTCTTACTTTTGTTATTACATTCTTCGACATACTCTGGTATTACATTTTCATGAATTATTTTGACATACTTTAATATGGCTTCTATATGACTTTCGATGCATTATACATTTACATTTGTATGACTTTTTGCGACATACAATACTAAAGCTTTTAATGACTTTTTTCATACTATACTATGACTTTTTTTACATACAATACTATACTGTGATTTTGTTTAGACTTTTTCGACTATGACTTTTTTTTTAAACGTTTATGGACATTTTAGACAAACAAACACTGACTTGTTTTCGACGTACTAGACTTTTATATTTTTCTACATATAATACTATGACATTTTTGTTACTTTTTGGACATATCACATTCTTATGACCTTTTTTTAACATACCATTCCATGACATTTTTCGACATACTATACTATGACTTTTTTTTTACTTTTTTCGACATACGTTGGCTACATCCCAAGTCTCTTAGGGTACTTCTCAAGTCTCTTAATTGCATCCCCGTTTCCCTCACTTGGGTCCTTTCCTTGCGTCTTAGTCCCTCCCATCAGGGATGCATGGAGGAAACCATGCAAGGAGAGAGGAACGAGGAAATATGTTTTAAGAAACATGAGACGTCCTTTCCTCAGTTGCTTCACGTGAAGCGACGTCTGTTTCTGATGACGGAGGATCAGCTGTCAGTCGGCTTTAGCAGCTGGTGAGACTTTTGATAAGTTTGTGTCTGTTCACATGATCACTGTACTTAATAACAGGAACTAATAATACTAATAACAAGGCAAGTTAGCGCGTTAATTTCGCGTTAACGCATTCATTGATTAACGCCAACAATTATTTTATCGCGCGTTAACGCGTTTTTAAAATTTATTATTATTTTATTTTTATTTTTTTATTGAAAGACAAGAGACAATACATATACATAACAACAAGAGGATGACAAGAACAGTGGGATAAAAGCCAGCTAACATCCTATACTCAGTTGTGTGTGTGTGTGTGTGTGTGTGTGTGTGTGTGTGTGTGTGTGTGTGTGTGTGTGTGTGTGTGTGTGTGTGTGTGTGTGTGTGTGTGTGTGTCCTTAAGCCTTTTGAGATGGGAAAAAAAAGAACAATAATAATAATAATAATTAAAAAACAACAACAACAAAAAACAGGTAAGTATTTTTAATTTATTATTATTGTAACAGACTGTCTCATGTTTATCGTTTTGCATTGGAGATATGATGTCCCTTCAGGGTTTCCGTAGAGAAAAGGTGACTTCCGCTTCAGGTCGAGGGCGGGGGTGGGGGGCAGAAATAAAGAGAGAAGCTGCACCAGCTGTTGCTCTCCCTGGAGACTACTGGACATCGCTGCGCTAAAGTCAGCAGACACTCAGATCTCCATGGTCAACTCAGCAGACACTTACATGTTAGTGCACCTATATGCTGAAATTCACGGTAAACGCATTTAAACGGCACAGATCGGGAGCGAGCGAAGGACTTTGAAAGTTAGCGGAAAGATTAACGTGAGGCAACATCCTGTTTCTTCAGACGAACATCCGGTTTTCAGAAAAAGTATGAATTATATTCACATTAAGTATAAAACATGCTACCTGCATCTCGTGAACCAAATGTTATTGCACTTTTGTTCATATAGCAGTACTTTTAAAATAAAAGTGCGCAATACACTACTTTTGAATTCATTATTGAACTTTGCCATAACAATGCGATTAATCGCGATTAATCGCAAACAATCCATGCAATTAATCGCGATTAAATATTATAATCGTTGCCCAGCACTAATATATATATATAGAGAGAGAGAGAGAGAGAGAGAGAGAGAGAGAGCTGGAGAGACGAAACACTTTATAGAGAGAGAGAGAGAGAGAGAGAGAGAGAGAGCTGAGAGACGAAACACTTTTTACATCATGTATCATTTCATTCAGTCACGTGAGGTTGATCATTCCTGATTGTCGGGTTTGATGAGTTTTATCATTTAAGAGAAACAATAATCATATTCTGGGTTATTTAATAATGACGGCACAATCTGAATTTCAAAACGTACAGACTCAAATAATTCATAAATAAGACGATCGCATTCCGCCGGTAGAAATGGATCCTGTGCTTATAAACAGAACACAGGACACAGTTTGTTAACAGACTACAGAGAGAAACACCTCTACAGTGATGATTACTGTGTATCTTTATTAGTTATTAGTATTATTAGTTGCTATTATTAAGTACAGTGATCATGTGAACAGACACAAACTTATCAAAAGTCTCTCCAGCTGTTAAAGCCGACTGACATCTGATCCAGCTGTGATCAGCTGATCCTCCGTCATCAGAAACAGACGTCGCTTCACATGACGCAACTGAGGAAAGGACGTCTCATGTCTCTTAAAACATATTTC